AATAGGAGACTACAGATTTTAACCATAGTTGTTTCCGTAGCACCGCTGTTATATGTTAGAACCATCATGTGATCAATGCCAATGTCAGATTTAAAGTACCAGGGAAGGTAGGTAAGTCAGGAAGGTAAATCAGTCAATGAGGTTGAAAACCTCACTGATTGATCTGGACATGTGTTGCATATGCTTAGTCATTGTCTACCTCAACGTACAGTTAGACGAAGTAGGATTAGGCTAGAGAAAGGTTAAGGTAGACCAAAATTAAATATCGCATCAGCCTATGAAGCTTCCGATTGTTAGTCCGACATGTGTAGGCTGTTTGACTAAAAACCTCGACAAGATAAACACTAATATCTGAAAAATTTCGTTGATACGGTTCACAGAAGTCACAGTAGAGAAGATGCGTGAAAACCTTGTCATATTTTAAGTCTCGTAATTCCTAACTAGGCTTTATCTTTTTATTTTCACTTTTTATGTAATTGTCTATTTCATTGCGGTCCCTTTCTTGTATATTTTTTTATATATGTTACTATTAAGTATGATGGCTTGAACGAATGTACTTTTGAGCTGTGTCTGTATTTCCGTCCCTGTTTTCATTACTGTCACAGTTTATCTACGAAACTGTTTTACTAGTTAAATGGGTTTTAAAAATGGCTTATTGCCGATGGTATCCTGAATCTTAGATTGTTTAAGACTTTTCCCGTCTTGGGGTTATGAAAAGAATTTGAATCAGCAACAGTTGTGCGTCACAACAGAGATCAAGGGATATCTGCCTGAGGCCGGGCAAACACGGCCTTCGTTGAAGTTTAAGCTTGTTTGTTTCCCGTCCAGCTACAAACCCATACCTCTGCAGCAGAAGGTGATAAGCGAAGGGGGATCACTATATTTTTGGGACCAAACTTTTTAAATCCCCACTTCCCATAGGGAAGACATCAGCAGGGCATCCGTTGGTCACCTACGGGAAACATCCTACTGCCGTTACAACCCGTCCAGCTAGCAGTACGACTTCGCCCTAAAAGCTCCATCATAGCGTAGTAACTGCTTTTTGTCTAACCACTATCCAACTGGTCTTTCTGGTATGGTACGACCTTGAGGGAACGAGCATTCCACCAGCATAGTTCGTTGAATAACTGTGATATGCAAGTCCGACGACAACGTTAAGGCAGCAGATATATTCGTAATTTTCGAGGACAGTACAAAAAATACAGGGTATTAGGTTGAATCGTAGGTATTATGAGTGAAAATGATGCTGTTCCGCTGCCAAACCAATGTAGGTTGGTTGAGATCGTGCGTGTAACTCACTGATTGACGGTTAAGTATTAACATCACTGTGCCAAAGCTTTGTGAAGTCAATGTGAAGTAGCTACCCAGTTTTTAAAACGCAAATGAACAAAATAATAATTAGCCCAACCGCTACTAATTACACTGAATCTAAGGAATCAAAAAAAACCCACACACGTTTGATAAGTCCTTTACTACAAACATATACTAAAAAAGCAGAGTACTGGCATACACAAAACATTCAAAGAAAGGCAGGTAAAACAGCACTTATACAAAACAATAATACAGTTACTATACTTTACATCAACGATATGATATCCTTACGAGCGGAAAAAAAATAATTATATCACAACTAAGAAAGCAGTAAATTAAAAGGATACGAAGAATAAATTATGAAAGACAATAAGATATTGAATTAGGATGGAGAATGAATGGATCTAAATCACTTCAAAGCACTTTACACTCTAAGTCTCCCACCTTTGCTGTTTGAATATTTTTTTGGATCCCAATAAGGAGGTTTAGACTTTCCCAAACCATTAACATCATAAGCTGAACGTTTCATGAATTTGTATGCTTTCCTGAGTTGACTACTTTAAGACTCCTTGAACTCTATGTTTATTCCAGATGGTACAGTCCGTAACCAACGGCAGTAGTAAGATATGCTTTAAGCATCGAAATCCAAGAGCATTCAGCAACCTTGTGCACATCAGTGCAGTAGATAATAAGCCACATGTATTGTGTGGAGGCTAATTATACTATTTGGCTGTCCAAATCTGGGTAGATGGAGCGATGTTCGAAACCGTAACCCATAAGTTAAAGGTCATCTACCTAAGCAAGCAAGCCACAGCTCCGATTTTAAGCATCGTACTTACTCCAGCTGATGAAGGTTCACCACCTCACCTCACCTCATCAACAATTTTAATCGTATACACACTCAATATTAGCATAGCTTATTGAACACTTCTAGCAGGCGCAAAGGATGCTGTTAGGACATTCGTTACCCGAAACTTTCATACATTATCCATAACTACATAACACTATGGAGTAGTGTTACACATTACATCCAGCTTATAATAAAGATTTGAGTACCTTGCTTGCATTGAGAGTGACGAAGACTGCCAAAACGTAAATGAGCTTTACATATCCATCAAAAGATTTTGTTGAAATTCAACACTAGGGTTGATGAGGATTTCTAATTACTTAGAGTGATTTTCGAGCAGAAGAGGGTACACATTTGATGGGGTAATAAAATTTTATCGACTAGGATAATTAGTGCATGTGCCAAGCATATCTAATCACCATCTGACTCATTACGAGATGTTACTTGAAGTACTTAAACATGGCGTCAGTTTATGGAGTACTTGACTGATGGTCTGGACGGTGTAAACTGTCTGGTCGCAGCCCACTAGATAACAGGAATCAATGGTTGGTGACTTGGTGACACGGCTCAAAACTGGCCCAGGCCCTAATCATCACATCACAGCTTATTTGTGTTATTCCTTTTTACTTCTTCTGTATGATATTTCACGACTTCTGATAACAGTTTTCTCGAATCCTCTATCTTTCATATTACTGCCTTCTACCTTGATATGCTGAAGAGACGTATCGCAACTTCGATCCCACGCAGAAATGGCGTATGAAGCTGCACTGGTCACCATAAACCAAGGGAACTAGATTCCCAAAATCTCTCCACTGTATTTTAGATAAGACCTTAAATTAAAGTGTCTGAGCAGGGATTCAGTTATTGTATAAATAATGGCATACAATGAAGCTCACAGGATCTCTACATAGCTCTCTTAATGAACTAAGTTTACTTAATTAAACACAGCATTTTCAATTGGTTGACTACTTCCGTTTTAAATTTCATATTTACTCTGACTACAACTGTTGAGGATTCTAGTCTGCTTGTACGGTTTTGCTGTCACTGTAAAATTTATTGAGGAAAACTATCGTCCAACGGAATATGACATGTCTATTATGAAACACCCAAATGCAGTTAAAGTTTGCCATAAACAACTCAAGTACCCTGAAACAGACCCAAAAGGTAACGAGTTTAGCTAGAAATCTGCGGAACCTCACAACTTATGTCTGCTGTATCTAAGACGATTGCATTTGTTATTCTGGCGAAAAACAGGACAAAACTTCCATCTGTCAGCTCAGAAGACAAATCTACTGCCCAATCATTTCAAGACGATGTACTAACTGAACCCGACGTTGCGACACTACCCGGACCACTCTCCACGCATTTGACTCAAACTCTGATCAAACCCATGACCCACTGGAGATGATTATCAACCAGTGGGTCATGGGTTCGGACCCCGGTCTGCCTAATTGGTTTGGACAGCCAGGTAGTATCACTAGCCCTCACACAATGGGTTTGGCTCGTTGCCTACTGCACTGATGTCCATAAGGTGGCTGAGTGCATTTTTTACCAAGGTAGGTTCATATGCCATTTATCCGTTCTTGGATCGTGAGGTCCACTGGTTAGAAATCTAAGTTTCCCGAATCCCCTAGGTGTAAACACCATGTATATTGGTTCGGTGATAACGTCAGACTTTTGCTTTCGCCTTGACCTTTGTTGAGAAACTCCGTCACATGACGGTAGTGAGCAGGATATCTCCAGAAGAGGCTATGAACGTGTCTCGTGCGATGGCACTTTGATATGATAACCAAGATCATTTAAACCTCAGCTATGGCAGGGTATTTGATGGTCTCAAAACGTTACCGAGTAGGGCAGCTGTTGCATGTGATATGCATGCCATCGCATTGTGCAATATTAGATAAAGTAAGTTTAGCCAAGTGAAAGGTTAAAGATGACCAGACTATAACTTGATACTAGCCCATAAGGTTTCTGGCTGTTGGTCTGAACTATGTAGAAAGATTTAGAATTAGATTTTCCATGACAACAGAAATTGGTTTTTGAAGACTCTAGGCGATATGTCTGAGAATTAACCTCAACAGAGCAAATACACGTGCACATTATCATCATTCTAATCATCATTTGGTTTTTTTTTTGACTGCTTTACCCCCCTTTTCTTTTGTTTTTATGACATTCTACTAAATTTGATTACTTCTGTTTTTTATCTTGGTGCCTTGATGTGTTCAAGTGTAACAACTCAGACAGGGAAGCAGAAACACAAGGTCCCATGTCGATGTCGAAGTAACCGGAGTATAGTTTGAACCTAGGAACCACTGTTTAAGATTCAAGTGCTCAAATGAATTAGTTTCATAAGGAAGGTATTTCAGTACTTTTAGTTCTTTCCTGTTTATCCGGAAATGCATGCCACGAATAATAAGCTTGTGAGTATTACAATTTATGCAATCCGTCTACAAATTTCTGATTCAGAGTATTAAACACATCTTAAATAAATCAATCTGATTAAATCCTTTCAGGCTTCACACTTTATTTTAAGGCTGTGATATGACAGAGTCAAGCATAATTTCCCTCAAAAACACTTAAAACATAAAACAATTGATAGTAACACCTATCATTACCTTTCAGTAATCCAATCCGCAGTAACCAGTTTCTCATCTGACAGTTTATTTATCTTACCATAAGGTAATCGACTAGCGATTACATGAGTGACAGATGACGACTGTAATATGCTTGGTAACGACCTCCGTGACGTATTATTAAGTCCCGTAAAGCTGAAGCCGGAGGATCTACAAACAAGAATAACAAAATTGAACAGGCCACTGATCTTACCCGTATAACCATTAACATAGATAGAAACACCACCAAAAATTGGAGGGCCTGATACGCTTTGTTCATTAAATTGTTTTTTCCAACTTCGTCTTTTTAGCACGCATATATCCGCCCTGTTTTAGGAAAATAAGGATATTGATAATGATACTTATTTGTCAGGGTAAATGATATAACCATAACCACCAAAACAAGTATGGAAAATGTAGCGAAAGAAATCATGAGGATTGCTCTAGTCAAAGTGCGTTTTACCAAGAACAAAACTCAGTCTGAAAAACACTGAAACTCAAGGATTCACGCAAAATCATTTCATTTACGTTTGAGAAGTCTTAGTAATCCACAAATTGAACACCTGAAATGGTGTCCAAAGCAAGGCCAAGCTAACTGATTATTTAATTGGAAGCCATTCGAATAAGTTGCAGCAATAAAAGCTAACTGATGAGTCGGAAAGCGATTACTTATCCTAAATTAACCAATTTTGGACAGTGCAAATCCCAAAGTACTGATCCAATGGCTAAAACTTATAAAAACTAATGATCTGAACGAAAATTTTTTTTCAAAAAATTCGTTTCAGGTTCTACAATTATAAAATGCACTTGTTCAGCATAAACTCAAGCCGAGTGAGGAGCAGTTGAATTTTCAAAAAGGAGTGAGATTTGGGAAATGTAAGGAAACAGACTCTTTTTTTAATTTGCCAATATCAGGATGACATATACACAAATGAATAATGAGATGATAAATGAAAAGATAAACGAATCAAGAAGATAGGAGTGGTCTTTTGTTAACTGATGACCAAAGGAGGAATAATGTTTGAACATGATCTTTCTGAACGTACAGTTCAGGTTTGAACAGCCCTATGGCGACAGCATCAGTTGTGTTCAGCAGGCGTTGGCGAGCTACGTGTAGTATTGTTTCCGGAATACGATGTATTACATTGAAATCTTTATTAGCATCTACATGATGCTCTGTGTCTACTAGATGCACGAGGATGGAACTTTACACGGCTTTCCCTTCATGCTTCCCGAACCAAGCCGGTAAATGCTCTCGCATTTGTAGATGCACCTGCTTAAGCGTACACCCAATGTAACTTGTCTGAGATTGGATAGGCCATCCTTTAGTTTTGGATTGAGCATTGGTTGACTACTGATATGCACGGTCGACCTGCATAAAACATCCTATTGACCAGCTCAGATAGGCGTTGAGATAGAATGTCACTTGGGGCGTTTACCTTGAACTGCAAAAGTAGAAATGAAGGCTTTTTCTCCACCGTCATTAATTCTCGTTTGGGACCAATGTAATTGATCTTCAATTTGATGAACATAAACGAATATCTGTTTTCACTTATAACATCACGGATACAAAGTAGTTTTTCTTTCAAACACTTCTTGGAAAAAACTGACCTTACTCCAAATCCCAGGCACCTGATTATATTACGTTTGTGCTTCATCGGCACGAAGGTGGGGAAGTGTGTATACTGCACCTCAGACGTCAGTTTTCTATATATACTTCTCAGTGAATAGGCATATTCCTTTCTTGTCATCAGGACATCAAGTAAATGTATTAAATCATTGATTTCATTTTTTATGCATAAAATGAACCGATGGATGAGGGCTGTTGAAACAATTAATGTATAGACACTTAACACAGACTAGAAACGTATCATACATATATCGGCAGTACAACTTCATACTGGTAATTTGACTTTTCAAAGGACCATTTTCTAATTTCACCAAAAATATGTCTGCAAATATTGGGCCCAACGGTGATCCCATAGCCACAACGTCAACTTGTCTATACAAACTACTGTTGAAGATGAACTGGATATTCATTGTGCATTTTAGTAATAGTTCTTTTAGATTCGCAATAGGACTGCTGGTGTCTGATTTCCGATGTAATAATTGTTTTTAGATGTAACCCACGGTTTCGTTAGAGGGACGTTAGTGAACAAAGGTGTGACATCAAGCGACCTTATACATTTACTAAAAACATTCAAGTATTTTGCCTTTTCTACAAACAGGAAGTACCTTTCACGCTATATTTTGCTAACTGGTCATGCGAAGGTTGAAATAATCGTACTAGCCATTTAGCGATAACATGGTAAGGTGAGCTGGTTATATCAAGGATAGGACGAAGAGGCACCTTAGGTTCGTGTATTTTTGGTAGGCAATACATCTGCGGAATCAAATAAGGTTGATGAAATGTATTCGTCATCTTCCAGTTTCTTTAGTGAAACGACTAAGTCATTTTCAGATTTTCAGGTCTTTCACTGACTCTAGTTTCTGAAGTTTACTTTCGTCTTGCAATATTAAATCCATTTTCTATACATAGTCAACTCTGTTCCTAATTACGACCTCAACTCCATTATCACGCCTTGTGATAATGATATTCTGATTTTTTTCTGAGTCTTTTGAGAGTCCCACGATGTTCCCTAGTCAATATGTCCCCTGGACTCCCTAAATCTCACTTCATTTTGTAAATGTAATTGCCCCTAACTTGACTTGATTTTATGCTGAATGGATGCATTTTATAGTTGTAGAACCTGATGAGGATCTATTGAAAAGAATATTTTTCGTCCAGATAGTTGCTTTTTATTGATGTTATGGGAATCTTTAGATATTTGAAACTCTTATGTAAAACGTGGAGTTCACAAACGACTCAATAAGTTACGATCACTCATTACGGAAGAAAATGCTTCTACAACTGTTCCGAATGTATGGAGAATTCGACTGCCTATGACATAAAAAAGGAGAGAAAATCAGAACTATATAAATCACGTCTAAAGTTACGGAGTTACCTGATATGAATATGGACAATAAATTATTTCCAAAACGCTATCCAGTAAATAATGCCGTCTCACTGTGACACAATAAACAGACTAAAATGAATCGTTGCGATCATTTTATACTACTCAAAATTGACAAGTACCAAAACGTTTTACAAATAACTTTGAACTTAGAAGTTATCACAGAACAGCATCTTCAATGACGCAGTCGTGTTGTGCCGATATGAGACTAAAACCCCCGAACTACATTAAGACATCACAAATTTACAAGCTTTTACTACACCTTAACTTAAAACGATCAATTTTTCATGAGACTTAAAGTCAACAAACTCTTGCCTTCGGTCAAACAAAAGCTTAGCGTGAAGTTAGGGACAGGAAAGAAGTATATGTCTATTTTTTAACTGACTGTTAAAATGGAGAATATTTTTAGCTCAAGTGGTTTAAACCATCTAGCAAAGAGAACGCAAAACAACTAAAAGTTGACTTCTGATCAAAAGAAACCAAATTGTAGTGTCTAACTAGGTATCGACTGATGATACTAATTGGTTCATTACACTAATGATCATTATCTCCAAATGTCATGTGAATATTAGATAACAGAATCTATAGTCAAGTTAATACACTCCATGCGTTGGTAATAAAATAAACTATGGATTCACTACAGAGGATAAGATTAAAATAAGATAATTACGAAACATCCTTTATTTAAAAAATAATATAAATGTACTATACCGCAACAATCACTTGGATCCCAATGAGCTCTTTTCAGAACATGTTAGATTACATACCTGTTCTCTATTTCCTCAAAAAGAAGTTGAGAGCTAAGATTATCATAAAATTTATCTCACCTTATAGTTTTACAAGTAAAGGATGAGACGAAATTGTAGGTAAATATCAGGAGGATAGGACAAAAATGTGGAAAGGGGATAAGTACATTGGTGGAGTATCCCCCAACACATGGTTACTGTTATACATCTATTCTGATAGGACGGTATGCTGAAAGCTACTCGTTTTTAACTTTTTGCAGAGTAAGAAATCTTGATTTTCCTTATAACCGAGAACCAGCTTGTGGGATTGTACGTCATTGAATCACTAACAAACCATTCGTACACTCGATTTTTGTTTGGATTCTAAAAGTAATCTGATGATGCCTAGTTTAGTCCAAACAATACAATGTATATAGTTTAAGTAACTGCATTAATTATAGAATACACAACTCTTCACAGCACAAGGGGGGAAAATAACATATTTAATATACGACACACCGAACAATGAAATCACTATATTGGAGATCAGAGAAATGTAAAAGAAAAAGTGATCATAGTTTCTAAAGCTACATAGCTAACCAAATGTCAAAAGGATATTGTCTTTTCGTATTTCAGCATTATAGGACCAAGAAAGCTGTGCCTGATAAAACACTACAAACCGTGAACACTGTGAAAGAAAAATGATCGGTAAATTATATTTCAGTATGCAGTAAATGTGTACTTAGATCAAACAGTATTTGATTTAACTGTCAAGTTAATAATATGCTGCGATGACTGATATTCATGTTTACTACTGGTCACAATAAAAAAATTTACAGTATATATTCACTACTACACTATATCATGCAGCAGAGTATCCTACATGTTCTGACCATCCATCGTCTTTCCCCAGAGAATGATGTGACATGGATATAACGACGTATCAATTGACTGTTCTATTGATCAGCATTCCCGGATTATTCTGGCTGCAACAAAAAGATTAAAAAAACAAGAGTAATAATTGAAGTATAGACATATAAATAACTGAAAAGAAAGATGTTATGAACCATTTCATTACCAGTACACAACAAACTGGATTTCTCAGATCGTTTGAGTAATCAGTAAATAACCAACACAAAGGAAATCAACAGAAGAAAATAGTTGTTGCAGTTGATTCCAATAACCAAAAAGCCATATATGTATCGACCATAGTAAAATAGACTATGTGCAGAACATTAAACCAAGTGAGATGTTTGTTACCTATTAACACTTTGAAACTGAAAGAGATATTCGTTTACTTTTGATTTTGTCACCTGGAGTTTACGTTACCTTCAATTTATGAGATTAACAGAAAAAAAGGCAACACACAGCGTTCCAAGCAAGTACATTACTTCACGTCGCCACACGTCCCAGTAGTATGCAAAGAGCAAGTAGAAAGGAAAAACTGATATCAAAGTAGACAAAAGTGTATAGCGGGACATATTTTACAAAAAATCAAAGTTAGTGAAAACGTTCAAACCTTAGAAGACTTCAAAGAGTGAATACATCTGCGCCATCATGAACAACCTTTAGCCATGTCACAAAAAGTCTCCAATCATTGGTTTCTGTGATACCGACGAACTCAAGCACGTACCATACACTCCCCCACACGACTCAAACCAATAGTAAAATACTTCATAGACTGGTACGATTTCGTAGTGGCTACTCGAGCTTTTTTTCAACTCATTCCTACTTCAGCTAACATCCCACATCAGGTGGGGGTGGTGCGGCATCCACGTCTCATTTTCAAGCCACTGTAATTAGTGAAGGCTCACTACTTCATCAGCTGACTAGAGTTATTTGCGCAGTACTTTTAGCCAAAGCTCGAAATTGTGCACACGGTGATTCCACGAAACATGACCAGTGTTACGAAGAAGCCTATGGTGAAAAACCTGTAGTCTCTTCTTATCTTTTCATTTTAACAACTGTCTCACAAATGTATAACAGGAAAGAACGGACTTCAGCCTAGTATACTCGTCCTTTAATTGACAGCTGAATATCTCGCCAGCCGACGACATAGACGTTTCAAATAGGCAAACGTCAAATGGACCTTCTGAATTCGAGCCGCGCTTTTGTTGGCAATCAGTCCGTTTAGGGCTGTTCAGTCACCCAGAGTAAGCGACCCAACAATCACTTGTATTTGATAAGCACTAACTGTAGGCATAAGGAGAAAGTCTCACATGGCGTTCGCCGACATTTTAACCAACGATGGACACGGACAGACAGATCACATTACTATAAGCCATCGTTGGAGAGGATCAGTGGAGGACTGCCGCTCTTTCTGGAGTACCAGTTTGGACTCCGATCACGCGCCAGTACGGGCTCGTGTATGCCTGAGCTTCGCCGGTCGTAGGAAACAGACGGCAGTGAAACTTATCTGTGCTTGATTGGAAGATGAGAACATCAGGTTCATATTGAAAGTAGAGACATCTAGGCATTTAACTGAACGTGACAGAAGTGCTCATCCTGAGGAAACCTGGCGTGATATCAAGTCTGCTGTAAAGATAGTTGGTAACCTAGACCTGAAGGTTAGCAAACGCCATTGGATTTCCGCAACGTCATCCGAAGTAGTTGATGCGAGAAGACTGATTCCAGCTGGCTCTGACAACGATGAAGACCGAAAGCAACTGAAATGTAAATTGACCAAGAGTTTTCTTTGCGTCGATCACGAGCAGTGGTGGGTGGCGAAAGTGACAGAGCTGGAGAAGGCATCAGGGTTGAGTAACACTCGAGAACTATTTAGAATTACTAAGTACACCGGCAAGAAGATGATGGTTAGTGAAACCATCAACCAAAAAGGTGATACCCTGATAACCTCCTAGGACAGATGACTAAAACGTTGGGCAGAACTCGTTGAAGCACAGTTTAACTGGCCCTCAACAACACTTCAGCTGCTCAACACCCAGCCTGAAACTGAGTGGGACGTAGATACCGATCCTCCAACTCTCCTTGAAAATGGGAAGGCTGTATGGAGTCTGAAACGATGCAAAGCAGCAGGACCTAACAGTTTGCCATCCGAAGTTTTCAAGGATGAAGGTAGGAAGTTGCTAATTAGAGTGACAGGAGTACTAGGCAGTGTATGGGAATTGAATTGAGTGTAGTCCCGTCAGATTCGTGTACTTCTCTGGTTATCACAGTCTATAAGAAGGCAGAGAAGTCTTCCTATGACAACCATAGGGGGATTAGTTTGATTAATACTGTATCCAAGATCCTGATATCCATAGTTATCTGACACCTATCTGGGGCTCGCGAACAACAAACTCGAGAAAACCAGGCAGGTTTGAGACCAGGAGGAGGGTGTGTCGATCATATTTTCGTCCTTCGACAGATCTTGGGACACAGGCATACCTACCGGCGGCCAACACTTGCCATATTTGTGAACCTGAAGGCGACATTTGACTCTATTGACCGTGAGGCTTTGTGGCAGCGTCTGACTGTAAAGGAAGTACCGATCAGATATGTAACACTAATCAGATATCTCTACTAGGACTCACGCAGCCATGTAAACGGCTTGTGGAGCGTTGTCATGTGAATTGGCGACAACTAGTGGTGTTCACGAGGGATGCCCACTGCCACCATTCCTATTTCAGTTCGTCATAGACGTAGTAATAGACATAACCTTAGGTACATTTGACTTCATAGGGATTGACCTACTTTCCGCTCATCTGGTTGACCATGGAGTACGCAGACAATATTGTTCAGTCAGATGAAGACACTGACAAAATGTCGAGTCTTCTGGACGTGTTGAGCAGAAATTTAAGTATATTTGAAATGCGTTTCGCACCTGTCAAATGTAAAATAATGCTCCAGGACTGGTCTACAACTACTCTCAGTTTAATGACAGATAGTGAAGTGGTTGTATGCGTCGGCCACACCCTTACTTGAGGGGTTGCATCAACTGAGATGGGATGGTTGCTGACAACATTTCAGCTTGGATACAGAAGGCCCGTCCAACGTTTGCCTACTTGAGTCATCTTTGACACAAACTGGCGAGATATCCGATTATCTATTAAAGGACGATTACACAGCGCTGAAGTCTGTTTTGTCCTGCTATACAGTTGTGAGACATGACCGTTGAGAGTAGAAGACATGAAGTGGTCAGAGGGTTTTGATCACAGGTGTCTTCGTACCATTACTCGCGTTTGGTGGAATCACCGTGTGAACAATGTTAAGGTCATCCTGGGTGTACTAGGGAGGACAAGCAAGTCGATTGATGAGGTTGTGAACCTTCGTCCACTGAGGTGGCCTGGACATGTGTTGCGCATATCGAATCACCACCTACTTCGACGTGCCATGCTAGAGAATTTGGATTAAATTTGAAGAAAGCTCACGGTGGCAAGACTAGGAAGTGGCACTAGTCCATGAAGTCCTTGACTGTTATTCTGAACAGTGTAGGGAGGTGTGCACTACGAGCTTGAGGTCCTTGAGATTATAAAAACAAATGACTTGAGACGTTTTGTGGAATGGTTGAAAATTGGTTACAATGAATCATATGTATCCGCTCTGATGTCTTCTGAAGTTTGAACGTCTTCATTAACTTTGAATTTTTTAATTTCTTTCTTCCCCAGTACACCTTTGTCTACTTTAACATGTTTTTTTCCACTGTCTTTCTGCATGCTACTGTGATGTGTGGCAACTTGAGCTGATGCGCCTGTGTTCAGGGTTCCACGTTGGTTTTGTCTGTCTTTGTCCGTCACTTAGGTTTTGGCTGGATGCTAGGAAAGAGAAGAATGAGCTTCTACTTGCGACGTGAATCTTTCGACTGATGTAGCATTCATTGACTTGACCAAAGTTTTCAATAATGTTTCCCACCCGGCTCTAGAGAATTAGTGAGAAAGCTTTGGTAGAAGTTGGGGTTGAGAAATGGGTTTAAGATTTTCTTTGCACAGAAGACATACAGCAAGGGTCAATGGTGTTTTGTGCTAGCGATGAAGTCGCTGAAAGAATCATTTTAGGTTTACTTGTTTTTACACCACGTGAATGAGTTGCTCAGGATGAGTGATTTTTAACCTTATGTTTTCAGATGATATTATACTCCAGAGACCTATTCGCACCAGTGAGGATAGGTGGATGCTACAGAATGACTAATGTTCTAGATTTGTCCACAAGATGGTGTCGGAAAATTAATAACGCCAAGAGCGTAGTCATACTAATATGTCACGGTAATCCATAAGACTATTTGATCAACATGCGGTTGTGCAAAGTAACTGAATACAAGCACTCAAGCATCATAACTAGTCATTGCCTTAAGCTTTCAGCTAACGGTAGAGTAGCAGTGACCACAGGCTTTTGAATCTTGTGATCCTTTAAAAATAGCTTTCAGAGCTTTGATGAGGACACATTCAGGATCTCATATCCGACATATGTAAAACCTCAAATGGAGGGTAGGATTTAAGTAGACAGCTCATGACTACTTAAATATGACGGTGATATATTATGAGAGATTTAAGAAGTAGGAACAATTATGGCTTAATAGCTTTCCGACCTCTCCTATGAAGGAAGATACGACTAAGCATGTCTTTTCCTAGTCTTACCTCAGGAGGAAGGGTGACTTTATATAAGTGCATCACATCTTGAATAAGTATTTACGTTCATAATTATCACACTTACTTAACCCCTCTAAAGCTGTTCACCTCGGAGGATACCACTTAAAATACCATAAACCCGAATCCATAGTAATTTCATCAAGCCGATTTATTTACGGACACATATGTGTCACATGATGATATCATCATGGATGTGTAACGAGTTGTGGATCACTGAAGCTGGAGTATACGAAGCACCTTTTTCCTTGTTAATAATTTCAAAGGGTAATTACATCATGACATTAAGCATATGCTCACTAGTGTTATTGCTGAAATATTACCATTGAAATGTTGGCTTTTGGGTAGTCGGACCTCTACGGATAACTGATCTTTTACAAGAACAGCCTTAATGGATGGTCAATTTTATTTCTAGAAAATTATGTGGCTTACTGAGTTACTGCTACCACACAGAGTGTAACGCAGCCTTCAAAACAGTTTTCAGTTCAGTTTCAAGATAGTAGGCCAGTTGGCCTGAGTTAATCCTTGCAGAAGATATCTCTGTGAAGATCTAGTTTCTTGTTGAACACATTGACAGAAGGTGTTGATACTACTTGTTGAGGTAAGGGGTTCCAGTCTTTGACAACAGGATATGAGAAACGCAGATTCACGCGGCTTTTGAGTTTTCTTTTGATGCCCTTGGGATAGTCAGTCCTAGCAGGGGTGAAAAGAAAGGACATATCAGTACCGAAGTCATCATTGAGAATACAAAATGCCATTATGAGATCACCCAGTTTCCTACGGTAAGACAGTGGGAATAAGTCTAGCTGATCTACATAGGACATATTCGAAAGGCCTGCCACAAGCTTAGCACCTACCCTCTGAACATGCTTGAGTGCATCAGCATCCTTTCAAGGCATGGGCTGGCCATCTGAATGCAATATTCCAAGTGAGGTCTTACGTTTGTTAGAGTAGAGTCATCTGAACATTTCCTGATCAGAACATTTGAAAGCCCCGCTGAAGGACCATAATACGCGGAGGCCCCTTGCTGAAGCCTCTTTACAGCTTGTCGAGGTTTTCAAGTGGTTATTGACAGAAGGGAAGAAGCCTTCTCTTAACTGGCTTCCGCATCTGCAATCCGTGGGTCACTACTCCTTGTGGTTGTTAACCTGTGTTCAAGTAAAGAAAGAAGAAAAGGTGGCTATTAAAATGTGAAAATTCACTTAGTTCTGGGCAGATCCTAGTCACACGTCGAGTGGGGGTCCAGCCGGCGTTTAAAGGATTGAGATGAAGTAGCCTGGATCACATCTTTTGGAAGAGCGTTCCAGGGTTTAACAACTCTTACGGAACAGAAGTTTTGCCTGACATCCAGCCTGCTATGTTCCACGCGTAGTTTCTGTGCCTGTACTCCAAGATTAGCGCTGCAGCTAAGACTTAATAAGTGACGGAGTGGGTGGCCAGGCGTGCTCAGAATGTTGTAAGTCATAATCAAGTCACCTCTCAGCCTTCTGTATTCCAGGGGATACAGATCCAGCGCAACCGGTCTTACTTCGTATGCTTTCGTCCTAGGTCCTCGAACAGACTTTGTAGAACGCCTCTGGATGGGTTCTAAGCTTAGTTTCTTCTTCTGGAGATAAGGGGAAGACCATGGTCCCGAACTTCAGGTGAGGCCATATGAAGCAGTTGAAAATTTGGTGGAAGCATCTACCAACGAATTGCCCAAAACTTCGTCTGAGAGTTACTAACGCCAAGTCCCCACTAAGTGCGTTTCCGTCACAGTTGGCATAGGATTTTAGGTCTTGAGAGACTGAAAGGCCTAAATTTTTTACCGTCACAGACGCTTCAAGTTCCATGCCGTTGAGGCTATATGCATGAGCTGCACCATGTTTTACGTGTATTACCTTGCATTCCTCGGGATTAAATGCAAGCCCACGGTTGACTGTCCAACTGCGAAGTCGAGTCAAGTTTTCCTGTGGAGAAACACTGTCTTCTATACTTTTGATTTCCCTCCAGAGTTTCACTTCATCGGCGAAAAGAAGGATTTCAGAAGTGGCCTGTTAACCAAGCCGTCTATGTATACTAGAAAAAGGAGAGGCCCTAGTATTGAACCTTGGGGAACACCACTGGGACATTTTGTTTCCTCAGACACAGAGAAACTCACCCGAACTCTAAATGAACGGCTTCCTAGGTATGAAGACAACCAGTTGATGAGCTGAGGTCTAATCCCAACTAATTCTAATTTATCTATAAGACGGTCATGATTAACACGATCAAACGCCTTGGCAAAGTCTAGATAGATAACATCAATTCGTCCGCGACGGTCGACAGTGCTAGTCCACCTATCTGCTGCAGTGAGCAAGTTGGTAATGCAGGAGTACCCCTTTTGAAATCCATATTGTTGGAGTGCAAAGAAATTTATCTTTGTGAGGTAATTCCCTAGCGCACTGTATATCAACGGTTCCATTACTTGGAAAGAATGGATAGTAGTGTCACCGGTCTGTATCTCTGTGGATTGCTTCGTTGACCCCCTTTGAAGATTGGCGTTATGTGGCCTAGCTTCCAAGAGTCGGGTACTATCTCCCGACTCAGAGCACTCTTAAATAACTTACTAAAGAGTTCGGGCACGATTGAGGTTCCCTTCTGCAGTACCGACGGATGGATTCTATCTGGTCCCAAGGAGGTTCTTCTGGAGAGCAGCAGCAGATTACGCTGTACTAGCTCAACGCTTAGGTGGACCGCTGAGAGTTCTGCTTGGTTAGTGGAATGGTTGTAAGCTCCTGAGTTGGTGTACGATGGCGGAAAGATTCGCAGGTACTGGCTGGCCAAGAGCTCAGCTGCTTCCGTGTCGCTATTAGTCAGTCCGTCCGCACCTAGTAGTTGAGTGACTCACGATTTAGCCTGCCGGAATGAGGCAGAGTAGAGGAAGAGGCTTCTCGCGTTAGACAAAAACATGTGTGTAAGCCTGGTGCCGCTGCCGATCGGCTCTCGAAGCCTTCGTACACATGTTTCTTGTCTGTTTGAATTGTCTGTAAATACATTCGGTGCCAATCCTTTTGTGTTCAGCCCAGTGATGTCTCTTTAACTTAAGTAGCTTGAGAGCGTGGTTCCTTATTACTTCAGGTGACTTGAAGCACTTCGGTCTCGAAAGTGGAACGGACCGACTGATCGCATGCATGATCTTGTCAAGCATGAACTTTCACCAGGTATTCATATCTTGCCATACGTGGTTAACTTCCCAATCTGTCTATTCCAGTGCGGTTAGGTATTAAGTCGTCCAAAGTTTCAACGATGCTCATCGAAAGGTTCGGTTAGATTGGTTTCGCAGACAAATTGGAAGCCAATGACAGCGTCGTCATGCTGTTAGTCAGCAGATGGCTTTTTATTAATGACTCCCACCAAGCACTTCGTAGTCTTGGACAGCTTTATGGCACACCAAACGGATTCTTCGAGGCATTCTGAATCTTGGATATGGATTCGATGGGCTAAGAGAGGGGAACTGACGTGAAGTGCCACCCAGCCCCCCACCACCCTTCCCGTCATCGCGAAACAGCATGGCATTAGCAATTGCAGCCCCTGGTTTGACATGTCAGGTGAAGCCCATGTCTCAGTAACACCAATAAGGTGAGCATAAGTGTGCTTACTTGGTCTCCGCAGCTCGTCTGGTTTGTTCGGCAAACTTTGTGCATTAGTATGGATGCAACTCATGCTCTCTACTTGGACTGAAACGTCTGCACCCCCTCTGTTTTCTAGTTGCCTGGCCGGATCCTCAGGGGTGGGGGCTGGGAATGTACTTAACTGCTGCCTACTGGTGTAGTGTTCCCGGCCCCCTCCAAGTTTTTCGCACCTAAGCAGTCTTCCAGGGGCACGACTAGTTCCATTTTTTCTGTTTTCGTTGCAGAATTTCGTGCTGCGGCCCATCAGGCTGCATGTGGGCTCCAGTTGACAGGCGATTTCTGTTCACCAGAAAGCCTCCAGTGTAGATGCTGTCAGGTGAGAGACCGGAAAGACCACTTTGATCAACCTTGGTCTGGGGTCATCGTCTTTTTTCAGCATGTGTGGGACGCTTTGAGTGAGTACTCCCTTGAGATTCAAAGTATTCTTGAGGAAATTCCACTAGCGAGAATCGGTGCCTGGGTTCTCTGGTATGGCTTTTACGATTACGTTTCTTCCTGACTGGGTCGCACCTTCGAGATTAGTGGCAGTGCGAGCGAATTATCGTGCAGGTAAAAGAAAGAGCTTGGCTGATGCAAACCCAGTTGGCTCGCGCGACGAAGTTCCTGTAGCAAATAGGTAACTGCAATATCCATGTTCCTGAGCAGACCCAAAACTTTTTATGTGGTCATCCGACAGATTTAGCGATGCTTATCTTACAAGACACCGTGTTTCAAGGTCTGCTGACCCGGAGAGAAAAGAAACTCAGCTATGAACGGTTTTCGCTATTTGGTTTGCAATTATATTCGAGTTTTCTGGAGGACTTGCGACCATTGGTGTGCATTTGTCCGCTTGAGTGGTACTGCCTTGTAACCGCTAATAATTCCCGAAAACCAATGGCCACAGGTGCAGCAAGATTCAACATCGACGTTGATCCTGGTGTATTTGATGGACTGGCTAGGTTGAGGGCATACGCTGAAGCATCCATGCCTTCTGTCGTGTTGCATACACACAAATCCTCTACCCAGCTGGTCGAAGAGCGTTACTTTTCGGGGTGGTCCATTAAACGTGATACCCCTACTTTGCCACACTTTTGCGTGCTTTCTTGGTTTTATGCCAGTGGGTATTGTACAAGTGAGAATACCTCGGTAAAAGCACAATACAAATGCCGGGCAAGATGCCACGTTTGGCTGTAACGTAGAGAGGTTACATTAGCAATCGATAGATCCGCTGACGCTGACGTCAGTAAGGACTGGTGAGAAATGGAGGGGAAAATTGCTACCAGTTTTCCATGTTATATGTCCCGATATCGTGCAAAACACTGGTTGCTGCAATAAACACTTAGCCCATGGAACTACATTGCTCTTATCCCGGGAATATTTTAACTTGGACTTGACCAAACATACGTAGCAATTACGGTGCCACATGTGAGTACACTTGGACGTCAGCCCAACAAAGCCGCTACGAGCAAGTGATTGAACTTAAAACACCCCGGATTACACTAGATTTTATCTGACATTATGACGTTCAAAAACCGCTGCAACCAGTATCGGGGTCCTCCAAAGTAGTTACTCAGCCATAAAAGGTTATTACGACAGGAAGCTGTGATTGACGAAAAACTGTTGGCACTCATCTGATCGAAATAAAGTATATGGAAAGAGATGACGCTATTAATAGATCTTGAATAACAAAAGAGAAAGAGGAAACAGAGAACCACTGTCAACAGTAAGACGACACCTGAATCGCCCGCGAGTAGCAACCAAGGTGACAGTGGCTGTGTATGGTGGTAGCAGTGAAGGTGGTGACTGTGGCCGGAGCAGAACGACCTCAGCGGGTGCACCGAGATTGTGTATCTTGGACGGTGTGGAAAGAGAAACTTGGAACAGTGGAATCCTAGAGGCCTTTCCAACCGGTAAAAGTCGTCAGTAAAGGAGGGGCGGCATGTATGCAGCTTCAAGTACCATAAGCCTTTCATGGAATGTACACGACAGAACGGCCCAAAACATCAGGTGCATTATCTAGAGAAGCTGGATGTCTTCGTCGCATGTTGAGATGTCACTAACGTGCAAGCCGTGCATTTCCGTTCAAACCCCTTGACAATGAATCGCTTTTGAGCTGAGCGTTTCATGACAGTTGATGATGCCATTAATTGTGTTCCAGCCTTTGCCGTTTACACGTCACGTTCATCCCAAGTGTCTAGTTTAAAGAAGTAGCTGTGGTGTTTTTTAGTGTAGCTAGTTGTGCTGTAGGAATTCCGTTGAACTTACCCCCTGTGCTTGTTTTTTGCTTCGTCCTCTCGCCTTGTGGTGTTGAAAACAGTTTACGA